CTGGAGCCAATACTGAACGACTGTATTTTCACTGAAAAGCAGAAAGGACTCTATATGAACAACAAACTGCACAAGTCTACACTGGCAACAATAAGCAAGCAAAACGCAATTACTGGCCAGTACATTATCACAATGTTGTGCTAATCAATATACTCTGTTTGCAATGTATAGTGCTAGCACACAGATCCATCACAGCTGTGGATGTGTGTGTCCCTGGGACATGAAGTCACCTCCGGCTTATAAACAGGAGATCAAATGGTAACCATTTAGGTAATATACCAAAAAGTAACATGACTAGCCGAGATGCTGCCCCAGGAAAACCAAACGCACTGAAAATAATTACAGTGTAGCATCAACAGCTCGAAGGCTGAAGAGCAGCCAGGTTACCACAGCAGCTGCATCTACATGTCGATACGGCAAAGACTGGGAAAGGCACTGGGTACCAGTACACTAGCTAGACCCCTGAGGCAGGATTTGGTTCTCCTCCTGGTCTTGAACCGACAATCTTTTTGCACGTAATGCTAACTTTGTTAACCGCTACACCACAGAGCCACTATGTGACGGTAACAGTGCACAAACTTTAGCACTTCATAACAGCTATATTCTCTATCAACACAGACTAAAAACAAATAGGAAACCACAGAAAAGCAACCCGAGATTACCAGTTGTGTTACTCAGAGCTTCCTGTAGCCCCTAACCTTTTAAAGGTTCCAACAACAACAACAACAACTATTATTATTATTATTATTATTATTATTATTATTTAGCCTTTAGTAAAAGCTGAATACGTAAAGATGACATCTACAGGGCTAGAAGTTAAGCTGCCTTTCTGTGAAATAAAACATCTGAAGCCTGTGTGGACTGAGAGGTGCTCTGATTCAGACCGATCTGTTTGTTCGGTCAGGTCTGCTGTGTGTTTACGAGACGGGGGTTCACGGCAGTTGCCTGGGTGACAGCGGTGAGAACAGTCCTAGTGAGCGGAGTGCGGGGGATAATCCCACAGAGCTGCAATCCTCTTGGCTGCAGCACTGAGCGAGGTGACTCAGGGTCAGTCTGAGAGCTCTGACTTTCAGCGCTGTCCTCAATCCACACCCACTCTGTCACAGAGTAGCACTAAAATAACTGAGACTCCAGGAGCTGCTCCATCTCAGCACACTAAAGACAGAATCAGCAGGAACCGCTGTATACCAGCTATAAAGAAGTACCTGGTCTAACACTCTTAACACTAGTGGTCACAGAAACACTTACCTTGTAGGCTTTCTCGATTAGGTTGACCTTGTTAAGCTTCAGGATGACTGCAAAGTTGATGGGTTTCTTACTTATTCGTCCGGGTTTCTTGTTGAAATCAACTTGCTGGAAGATCTGTAAGAGGAGACAAACAGTAAACTCTGATCTACTTCACTCATACAACAGTGTAGTGCATACCATCTCAAATATAAAACATGGTCTTTTTAATCAGTCTTTCAGTCTCTTTGTTTGCATTTTTTAAAAAGGATGCAGATTTTCGATGAGTAACATCCACCTGTTTTCTCAACTATCCAATCCAGACACATCCCTTAATGAAGGAATCAATAATGCAGGCAAATTTCATAATTAACATCACTATTAATTAAACCAATTAGCTAATAAATCTGTTTTATCTGTGAGAAACCAAGTCCACAGTTACCGCTTGCATAGGACTTAAGAGGGTAAGTAGCAGCCAGGTGCTGCTAATCAAATGCACTTGAATTATTGATCATCAGCGAGTGTGAGCACCTCTCTAAAAGCAGAAGCTTTGCTGGTCCGCAGTATTTAGACGTGTGTTAACATAATCCCAAGAATAAAAGACATCAACAGTGATCTTAGAGAACCAGGCCATTCTGAAGTCCATCATTCTACTGTTAAGTGAAAAACAAGACCGTTGCCAATCTTCCCAGGACTGGATGTTCCAGTAAATTCACCCCAGGATCAGACCATGCAATGCTCTGCAGGCTGTAGTTAGCATGTTAAATGTCAAAGTTAATGACAGTACAGATAGAAAAAGTCTGAACAAGTGTGGTGCTTGTTGACAAGAGGGGGTGTCTTCTCTCTTAAAAGAACACGGCAGCACGGCTTAAGTTTGCAAAGCTGCATTTGAACGAACCACAAGATTTCTGGAACGATGTCCTTTGGACAGATGAGACCAAAGTGAAGATGTTTGGCTGCGATGATGCCCAGTGCCATGTATGTAGCATATCAGCTCAAACACTTCAGACTAACTGTCATGCACGGTAGTGGAGGAGTGATGATCTGGGTTATTTTGCAGCCGCAGGACTTTGCAGTCATTGAGTCAAACATGAACCCCCACTGTGCACCAAATGCTCGAGTCAAATGTGAGACCGTCTGTCTGACAGCTGGCTGAAACTGGGTAATTTAACGGGACAATCATCCCAAGCACCGCAGGAGATCTACAGCAGAATGGCTAAAAAAGGGAAAACGACGGTGTTGCAAAGGTCAAATAAAAGTCCAGACCTCAACCAGACTGAAATGCAGTGGCAGGACCTTAAGAGAAAGTCATATAGAAAACAATTGCTTCAAGTTAAAAGTGGTTCTACAAGCAACTGAATCGTATGGTGTGCTTAGTTTTTCAAGTCCAGGGGAAACTTGGCTGTAGATTGATATTTGGAACTGCTTCTACGCGTTAATGAAAGCCGCGACCGTCTCTTGCTATTCTTCAAAGACAACACAGCTAAAGAAAACATTTATTCTGCGGGATGCTGAAAGTGTTTTGACAATTATCAGTCAGCGCAGCTCATTTTAAATACTGCAGTGTTACTGAGATGACACATTTCTATCTTAGTCTGTGAAAGTACATTCTAGCCAACGTGTGGGCTATTTGTCTACAAGCTTTAGCTTTCACATCTGCCCACAGTGCGCAAGTGAATTTCTGTCTTGTATTTGTGTATCAAGCTATTTCTGACTCCCTGTATCTCTGTGCGTGCGCGTGTGTGTGTGTGTGGTCGTTAATGCTCGCTGTGCGCGAAGCAGAGCAACGCTCCTGGCCGGTGCTGTCTGTACAAACATAGGATGTGGTGGCGGTCTGCGGGGGAGCCAGGGGAAGTGGGAAGGCATGGGCCAACCCTGGTGCACTCTCTCTCACACACACATGCACACGCATGCACACAGCTACACAAGCAGGAAGCTCCAAATCATACACCCCCCTCGGAGATACGAGAACACACACACACAGGCACAGACACACAGGAGGAAGGGGCTGCTTTTGCTGTTCTAATTAAAACAGTAGCAGCGTACCTCAGCCTGACTTTAACAAGGGGAACAGTAAAGGAGAAAAAACACAGGAAGCATTGTGCGTCACAAATAAACACAGCTTGCTGTTGGGGGTTAGATGGAGCGAGGGAGGCGGGGGTCGGAGTGTATCTGCGTGTATGACGGGGAGAAGAGTGGGGAGTGGGCCATAGGCAGAGAGGATGTGGTCTGCACAGCATGTTAGGACCAGAGTGTAAACCACAACCGTGTCTTTATCGCTTCGGTCAAACTGCTGCACGCACGCAAACACATACAGGCAGACATGCGCTGACCACTCCCAGCGGGCCGAGCCAGTCGCCAGCACATGTCTCTCCTCCAGCAAACCACAACAAAGCCGCACAGCGTGCATGAAAACTTGCGCACAAAGGCACACTACGCGCTCACGTGACTAGCACCTGATCCAGAGAAGATGTTGTCAGTTGGTGACCCGTGATTGGTCTGATAACAAAGGTGTCTCTCACAGCTCTACCCTTTGAATGTTTCCTCCTAAGCTCCTACAGTTGTGGCCGTTGAGACCAAAGTGCATTTCGTATGCCACTGATGTTTTTCCGCAGCAAACCACCGACGGAACATTTCATCACATCTACCTTTTCATTGTTTCCATTTCACCAAAGTCAGCCAACGGGCTGTTTATCGTAGATTATCTCAAACTATCTGAGGGCCTCAAGTTGTGTGTCGGTGCGAGAGACTCGGGCCACTGGAAACCTGACCCCTCACTGATACGCTGTTAGCTCTGCACGGTGGTTACTTGAGATGACGTGAAGCCTTACCTCCAAGAGGAAAGGCAGAACGGGCACAAACGTGTTGGTGCTGCCAGACAGCAGAGTGAGCGCTCTGCAACAGTGCATCCTCAGAGGGTAATACCTCGCTGTGGGAACCAGTCTGAAAGAGAAAATAGCGATCAATGTCTCCACCTGCTGTTGGCAACATGTACAAAAAAAATTAAAATAATTCTCTTCCAAGATTTTGAAAGCAACACAGTTACAAAAATTTTGAGTGAAGGAACCAGAAAATATATTTTAAAAAAAATGCAGATTGCAGGAGTACAAACAATGGTTCATCTCATCAGGTAAACCTGTTCATGTTTCTTAATGCAAAGATCTAATCAGCCAACCCAAAGGCATACACGTGCCTTCTGACAGAGTATTTCAGAAACTGTTAATCTACTGCGATTTTCCTGTGCAATCATTCTAAGGTTTACAGGGAACATTCCCAAAAAGAGAAAATATCCTACGCGAGGCAGATCTTTGGGCAGAAATCACTTGCTACTTTCAAGGATCAGAGGAGCTCGAACGCTTTAAGGAAGACAACAGTAAGTCAAATCACAGTAAGTCATTATAGCCGAGGTATGCAGAAGAGCATCTCTGAAGACCACTCCCATCCCGACAGGAAGCTGAGGCTACAATTCACACAGACTGACAAAAATTTGGTCCAAGGAGTCTCAGTTTCTGCTGCAACATTCAGATGTTAAGGTCAGAACTACATGAAAGCTTGGATCCATCCTGCCTTCAATCACATTTTCTTGGCTCACTTTGGGCCCCTCAGTACCAACTGAGCATCATTTAAACGCTACTTCTACTTGAATACTGAATCACGTCCGTCTCAGACTGCACCCATCTTCTGATGGCTGCTTCCAGCAGGATAACGCACCATGTCACAAAGCTCAAATCTCAAACTGGTTCCTTGAACATGACGATGTACTCAAACATTCATCAGATCTCAATCCATCACAGCATCTCTGGGATGTTGTGGAACGAGAAAGTGACATCATGGATTTACACCCAACAAATTGGCAACAACTGTGTGATGTCATCATGTCAATACGGACCAAAGCAGGAATTTTTCCAGCAGCTTGTTGAATTTATGCCACAAAGAATTAAGCTAGTTCTAAAAGCAAATGGAGGTGCTAGCGAGGTGTAACATAAGTGTATGATATAATATAAGTGGCTGTTTAGTGTGTATTTGAGGCCAAGTCGTGGCTTTATTTATACATCAGACTCTGGGGTTGAGTTTTTAATCTTTTAAAAGCTTTTTTTCACCCTAACATATTTATGTATACTTACTTGATGGTGCCAATTATGACTTGGCAGAGTGGATAGATCAGAGGCTGCAGTACCTCACTGGGGTGCAGTGTGCTCAGGACCCGACACCACAGGAACAGACAGTGAATATACTGCCAGTTATAAACTGATTGATATGTTTCCTATTAAAGAAAGAAAGAAAAAGGGGTCAAATGTGAATGAGGGTGAGCATCTATATAGCAGAGAATAGCTCTGTGTCACTGTGTGTGGTTGCTCAGTCAGTATATAGCTTTAAATGACTTTTGTAAACTGGACTAAGCTCCACTCATACATCCCCGTTTTTGCGCATGAGCATTTCAAAAGCAATTATATATTTGAATTTTATATAATTACAAAAAACAATCCTTAAATTGAAGCCCTAAATGACTCAAGGCAGATGTATACTTGTCGGTCTTTATAAATACTGTTTTATGTGAGCACAAACAGCAAAAAGAAGCCAAAACAAAACAAACAACCTTCTTCTTCATGGTCATGGCGTTTCTGAGGTGAATGGCCAGCTGTCGGATATAGATGAAGGCGTGCTGGTAAGTGACCTGCGTGTCCAGGGCGTACATCTCTGTCAGAGTTCTCTGCATGAAGTTGATCATGGGCAGCACGTTGGGAGACGTGAACTTGCAGTTTTGTACATAAGAAATGTACATTTGCTGCAAAGAGGAAGACGATTATTCTTAAGAAGCCCAGGCTGGATTTGCTTTTCCCCCCCTTTTGCCTCAGTAAAGATCCCGGTTTGTTGTGAACACCTCAATTCCTGCAGCTCACCTTAAGAATCGGGTTGAGGTACGTTTCCTGTTTCTGGCGGCAGATTTTATTGAGGGCCAGGAAGGCAAGAACCCGACTCGTCTCTTCCCCCGTGCTCCACTGCTTCATTAGTTGCTAGAGTCAGAAACAGGAAAAGGAAACAAAAACAAAGACACATTAAGACATCATTTGTCAATAAATACTGACATATTTTACTCCGTGTCATCAAGCTAAGGTGGAGGTCTCACCTTAATCAGGTGGCGACACTGTTTGGGTAGACACAAGTAATACGGTACGAGCTGGTTGGTGTGCTTCAGGACCGCGCAGATGACCGTAGCCTCCGTTAGGCTGGATAACAGCTGCAGTTGGGAAACAAGAAATAATTTTAAAGCAAATATTCACAAAAATGAATCCCTGTATTCTGTATTTCATGTATCTGCCTCACAGGAACACACAGGCCTGAAATCTAAGTGGTGAAAAACAAAGAGACACATGAAGTAAAGAGCAAACCTGAACCACTCCACTGAGATACATCTTTATGTCCATCTGATTCTTCTGCCATCTTGGACTAGACGAAGGAAGCACTGACCTGCGAACAAACCGCAAAACAAACAAAGAAATGAGTAAACAGGTTTTCTTTTCCCTCTTCTCAGCTGCACCGAGACAATCGATGAGAAATGAGACGTGTGAATTTTGTACTTTTTTTGGTCTTTATCTGGCTTCAGGTTAAGAATCCTCTGCAGAGCTCCGTGGATATCTTTGATGCAGAACAGGACCAAAGCATTGAACACTGCAGACAGAAAAAGAACATCATGCATGCTTAAGTGTTGTATCTTTCATAAATAGCACAAGGACTGAATATTAATGTGCTTATGTCATCACAATAACACAATTCTAGAAACAATCGATCTTTAAAGGAAAGATTTAAGAACTGCCAGAGGCCTTTTTGTAACTGATAAACTGTGTTTTCAATTTCTTCTCTGTGACAGAGATCGGCATGTTTGTCTCTAAATAAGCTGCACTTCTTTTATTTATATAATGTGTCTTGTTAATCCATGGTGGGTTAACATAAATAACATTTCTAGCTTCTGTGTGGATTAACCAGATCGTGAGTTGATGTTTTGGGTGACGTTCATCCAAGAGGGAAAATGTCTGCATTAGAATGTATTCACAAAATACATGGCTGTTTGGAATAACAATAAAAACCTTTATTTGATTGCAAACAAGCAAGTTACATTTATTGTTTCAGCCCCAAAACAAATGGTGTGTATCCTTAAGGCCAATCAAACACGCTTCCTGTCCCATTTATGCTACTAAATGTATATTGGGCATCAAAATGGGCAGTGGGTGTTTATCATAGCTCATTTTTGATGTTTGTGAATCTTATGAGCTTCTTACGGAGTGCTTAAAACGTTAAAATAAACATTAAATCTGCACTGTAGACACATCGTAACATAAACCCTCTGAAACACTACAATGTAACCTGATGTGCAAATGTAACTGTACATTTTGCAGTTACATTTGTAACTACAAATATAACCGCTACTGTGATTGGCCTGTTCGATACTCTCAATTCCTCCTGTGCATTTACCTTTTTTTTTCTTTTTTTTAAATTTGTTAACTACACTTTTTTTAATTTATCAGTCAGAGAATAAAAATGACCACCTCAACATGAGGACTCAGAGATGTCAGCAAATTTCTAACTGCAGATTCCTAGAAGTATCAGAATGTTCAAAAAAGTGAAAAACAAAAGCCCCCCCCACAATAAAACAAAAAATGAAACCTCACCTGACAACAATAACAACAAGTCCAGGCATTTTATATATTTCTATCGTGGCTGGCACTGCATAAACAACTGTAGGGACACGGCTACAAGCTAATTAATGAGTAAAATATCACACAAAAGCATGAACGCTTGCAACAGCATGTGACAAGTCATTAAGGACTGACAACAAATTATGGTTAAATTATTAAATTCGCTAGGTATTCCCTTACTGTTGGTGATTGGTTGCCGGTTGCTAGCAGATCACAGCAGTCGACAGCAGTTTGTATGGAAGATGCTGAACTGTCTCCACTGCATCACCGTATACCTCTTTTAGCCCTTTTAAAAAAGGTCCTTTAGCCATTTTCATCAGTACATACTTTGATCCCCTCGTTTTCCAGTCGCCCCATCTATTGTGTATAGGGTCGTGATAGCAGTGGGTTCAAATGTCCCGTGGACGTTACGCCGATGGTATACCTGCTGCTCGGTGTATGGCTTTTTAATCAGACTTGAGGACCACTGTGTTTCCTTGTTGCCTGGTTTCAAAACTGGCTGTTTTGATTTTCATGAAGGAGATGCTCTCATGACCAGTTACTTTTTCAGATTGCTTGAAACCCCGGCCAAGTAGGTACTACAAAAGTACGTGGTACCAGGTACTACCACATAATGAAAAACCCCAAAAACCAAGTTGATCTGATCCGAGGTGCTAATGGAAAAGGGCTATTTTAAGACCAACTACTCACCAACCAGTCACAGAATTAAAACTTTCACATAGCAATCAATGGTTGCCAAGGGTCACTGCCCCCCTCTCTAGGACTGCATGAATAGTGCTTTCAACAATTACTTGCTTACCGGTTGGAGAACACACATTTTTCCTTTGTGACTGTTGGATGGTAAATGGTTGCTGACCGGCCTCTAGGCCTGTGTGAATGGTGTTTTAATTTCAAATTAAACTGTTATATACCCATATATACATGAATACAGATATGAGGACCCACCTGAGCTGTCAGCTACTTTGTAGCGGCACTGACCGCCCTCTTCACCCTTCGTTGTGGCGACAGCAGCCTTGAAGGCCTGCGTAACTTCTCTGAAGAGATGAGCTGTGGGTTCTTTCTTCATGGCCGCTTTCCAGTCGTCTATCATTTTGTCTGTGACTTTGATAGTATCTGCTCCCTTCTTGGCTTTCTTTGAACTTTTTGCAGCATATTCATCGTCATCATCTTCTTCATCCCCAGAGCTGGCCTCCTACAAACATGT